AAAAAAAAAATAGTAGCGCTGTTTTAACAGCACCCTCGTTCATCTGCGAGCACATGCACCGTCCTCAGAGTGCGCCCAAATGCTTGTTGATGGAGCTGCAGAAGCTGGTGATAGTCTAGGATACTCAGCCAGTGTCAGGTGGACACATGCATGCTCATGCAAGTTAGTCGTGTTTGAGTACTTTGCTCGCACCATACGTCTGCACACTTCCTTAGGTTTCCCTCTTTCATCTGGTTTAAAGCCAAAGAAATCCCAAATTGGCGACTTTATATTTTTTTAGTGCTGTCAGCGTTAACATGCCATCATGACGACTAACGCAATGAACAATTAATTAGGGGATTAGTTCGTCCATGTTTGGACTTCTTCTGTGTTGTAAATGCGCAAATCAGTCTGTGCATGATTACATTGCTCCGGTCATCCTGCGCTTGCACGAATATATCGCCCATCGTTGATTATTGGACTGACGATTGTCGGTTGGAAAATTTGTACATATCGCCCAGCCCTAATTCCCAGTCAGAGCTGTTTTTGACATTGCAAAATTCCGGATATCAGTTATGCCATTAACAGAGAAAAGCACAGGCTTTAGGGAAGGCTGTGCTTTTGCCTCAGAGGAAATATTTGTTCATACGCTGACCTTTCATTATTAGAAACTTTGGCCGTGCTGGATTGGCACACACATGACTTTTATTTCATGACTGTCGTCCCTGCGTTGTGATGTTTCCTTGTTTCCTGTCACTATTCATCCCTCCACTCATAACAGTGGACTTGAATGAGCATTTCTCCCACCCTGCCTTTTCCAGTCACTTTGCCTGCTTATGTAAAGTCTGAAAGGAAAAAATGTAACCAAAGGAATTCTGTCCAACCCAAGAGAGTCCCACACCTGCTCACTCAGCTGTGATAAACCTCTCAAACTAAGTTTATCTGAACTTTTCTTTCTAACTATAGAACAATTCACAATCAGCAAAGGTCTAAATATTTTGTATGTTTGTGTGTGTGCGAGGCTTCTTTCATTTGTGTTGTTTGCGCAGGTGTTTCTGCATCTTTGATATGGATGTGCTGTCATCAATTCATTGTCGTTTTTCAGTACTGGTACAATCGCTGTGATATAATCTAAGGTTTCGCCATGGCTACAAGAGAGATTGTTTTGTGTTCGTCTGTAGGATTTTGTGTCTTTCCACACTAAGACAAAACACCCATCTACTGTGAGCTGTTCCTGCAGCGAGCAGCGCATGTGTGTGTTGTCTCGCGTTGCAGCTCGTCTGAATCCACTCGCTGTTTACTGGAGAGTGAACCTCTCAGGCGAGTGGGAAACTTTAGTCACAACTTCATTTTGTTACATTCCTCTAATGGAGAAATGTACAAATATTATTGGAAGATGTTCTTATGCTGCACCTGCAAATAAGAACTGTAAGCTTCAACCTTGTGTGTCCACAAGATTTGGCATCCCAAGAAAATAATACCTGATCTCAGCATTTAACACGCCTACACCCTTCAACAGCACCTTGATAAGGTGTATAAAATAAAAGCAGCACAACTAAGGTGGTGGAGACTGAAGCTCATGTTTTCTGGAATGCAAGAACACAGCTGGTGATGCTTTGTGGCAAAGAAAAGGTGGGTGTGAAGGCTTTTTCACTTTGTACGGAAATCACTATTGTGTTATGTGTGCAAGGCAGAGCCTTCTGATTACATTTCTTTAAGCTATTCTGTCACTATAGCTATTCTGAATAGTTTATCTGATGTGTAAATTGTCCAGCCAGATGATTGATGCAGTATTTTTACAGCTGGATAGCTTGTGCGTCCGACTTTGTGTGTGTGGATGTGCGCGCGTGTTTGGGAGGATATAGCGAGTTAAGCTTTGACCTTGAGGTTGGAATGCACTACTGATGGTTTAGATAATAGTGCTTGCATGTGGGTGCTGTATGTGTGTTGGTAGGGGCTGGTAGGGCTGGGCCATATCATACCGTTCACGGTAATACTGGTATAATGTTGGGCAACGATAAGAAAATGAAATATCGTGATAGAAT